GGCGATGCTTGGTCATTGTTTTGCACCAGGTGGCATCCCATGGTTTTTCCCATGCGCCACAGCCGAGAAGTTCAATACGCCGTGGTCTTGGGTCCATCTTGAGAACGATCTTATCATGATGTGGCCACGATTTCTTGACGATTTGTTTACGATTTCCTTCGGATTCTTCATCTTGCGGCTGTTCCAGGCTTTTTTTTGTTTAGGGGCTTTTGGGGCAAAACTGATCCTTCACGATTTCTTTAACGATTTCGTGGGCTCCGATTCGGGGTTTTCGTCACGTTTTCGGGTCCCGTGACGTCGAATTCGGCGCCGCGGATTTCGTCGGTTTTGCCACCAACAATTTTTCCCCTTCCTATTTTTTCACGTCCCGGGAAAAATTCACATCCAACAATACAACAGATCTTGCCTTATTTAAACCGAAAAAGAAAAGACAACGCACACAACACAAAAAAAAACTTTATTTTAAAATGCGCCCACGTTATACATGAAGGTTTCCCTTGTCATACGCTCCTTAACCCCGCGTACAACTGTCGCGTTCGACCTTTCACACTGGCGACCTCTATTCTTGGGACAGCATGTCAACGAACTCTTCCGGTTCATGGTATCTCTTCAACAATCCTAGGTTGAAGGGGGCCGAAATCACCTTCCCTTCCATGGTCCTTAACTTATAGGCATCGTTGGGGAGTTTGTCATGAACATAATACGGTCCGGTGCATTTTGGGGCGAACTTATCGCTTCGGGAGTACCTCTTCTTGGCATCTTCTAGGAGGACCTTTTCTCCAATTTCAAACCCGAAACTTACTCGATGTTTCCGATCGTGGTAGGCTTTCACAGCCTTTTGTTTTTCTTTCACCTTTTCCACAGCTCGGTCCCTTATAGTCGGCAATTCATTTATTAGGTCAAACGTCCTCTGCAAAATCGTTCCTTCTAATAGGTCTTCCGAACGACTGGGGTGGATCGGCTATCTGGCCTCACGTCCATACACAAGGTAAAACGGGGACATACTAGTGGTTGCATTTCGGGCGGTCCGATATGCAAAGAGGATCGAGGGGATTAGAAGATCCCAGTCAACAACATTCTCGACCAACTTTCCCAGGGCTTCGCACAACGTTTTGTTGAACCGCTCAACGAGACCATTGGTTCTGGGGTGGTACAGGGTAGAGAACTGATGTTTCACCGTCAATTTTTCCAGAAGCAGCCTTATTATATCATTGCGAAAGTGAGTCCCTCGGTCGGATTGGATACGATCGGGGCAACCATGCTGACAAATTATGTCGTCGTAGAGGAACTCCGCAACGGTTTGTGCGTTTGCCTTTTCCACAGCACGTGCTTCGGGCCAATGGGTCATGTAATCGGTTGCAACCAAGATGTACCGATTCAATCGGGGCGTACGGGGGAGAGGGCCAACAAAGTCCAACCCAATCTTGTAGAATGGGGCCGAAACAGGAATGGGGGTCAACGGTGCTTGTGTATGGGATCGGGTTTGTCGTTGACATTGATCACACGTTTGGACATACCGTCGTATATCCTGGTACATCCTGGGCCAAAAATAGGTATCTCGTACCTTTTCAAACATGGTGGAGCGGTTGAAGTGTCCCCCCAACGGGTGAGTGTGCACCAAGAAGAGTATCGGATCTACTTCATGCTTTCGCAGCACACGGAGCAAGTTCCCTTTCTTCTGCCTATCTTTCTTGTATAACAGGCCCTCCCTTATTTCGAAAAATTCAGACTTCTTTATTAGCTTTTGCCGCTGCTTTTCGTCAAAAGTCGGTGGCAGAGTCTTCATATCGAGGTATTGAACCAGGTGCCGATAGTGGTCAGGTTCCATCAAAATGTTAGTAAAGTTTTTTTTTTTTTTTTTTTTTTTTTTTTTTTTTTAAAGGGGATTTATTAAAATTTATTTAACGATTACGGGAACAACACAAAAAAAAAAATTAATAGTTAGAGAAATCTAAGGGGAAATTTTAAGGAAAATACTTAAAACCATTTTAAGTGTGCCGTGACACTGGTAACCTGGACTGGATTTAAATTCCGGATTTTTTTTTTTTTTTTTTTTTTTATATTTTTTTTTAATCTAATCTACGACCATCGGTTGAGACCCAATATTCTTTTCAGGGGCTTCTACTTTAACAAGTTTGGGGAGCCTCGACAACACATCGGCGTTGTTATGGTTCTTTCCACTACGATGTACAATTTTAAAATTGTACGCTGCAGACGAAGTATCCAACGGGCCGTACGACCAGTTAAGGTTGCAGTTTGCAACCATTTTAACGCGGCATGATCCGTAACGACAACGAAAGGTTCCAAGCCAAAATAGTGACGAAAATACTCAATCGCCCACAGAACCGCCAGGCACTCAAGTTCGGTGGTACTATAGTTAACTTCGGGTTTGGTTAGTGCTCGACTTGCGTACACCACAACGTACTCTTTTCCCAAATCGTCCTTCTGGGCCAACACGGTACCCAGGCCTGTTCCAGATGCATCGGCGTGGACGATGAACGTCTTGTCGAAATTCGGGTAATGAAGCACCGGTGCCTTCGTTAGTTGTTGCTTTAATTTATTGAAGGCATCCTCTTGCTCGTGGGTCCACTCGTACTTAACATCCTTCCTCAACAGATAATACAGGGGGCGGGCGATCGAGGCGAAGTTTGCAATAAACTTCCGATAATAGGACGCAAGTCCTAAAAAACCACGTAGTTGCCGCAAGTTCACAGGGTGGGGAACTTCTGGACCTTTTCTACCTTTCCGTCGTCAGGACGGACTCCATCACGACCAATGACATGGCCCAAAAACTGCAGGTGGGGCTTAAAAAAAGCACACTTATCCAAATTCAACTTCAGGCCCACGGCCTTTAATTTTTCAAAAACGGCGGCGATGTAGCTTAAGTGTTCGTCGAAAGAAGCGGAATATATTACGATATCGTCGAGATAGACTACAATGAATTGTTCGATGAAGTCGGCAAGGACGTAATTCATCATATGCTGGAAAGTGGCGGGAGCGTTACAGAGACCAAACGGCATGACGATGAACTCGTAAGTGCCGAACGGGACCGCAAACGCAGTTTTTTCTCTGTCCTTTTCACTAATGGTTACCTGCCAATAACCCGACAACAAGTCCAGGGAGGTAAACCAAGCGGCACGACCAAATACTTCGAGTAGGTCGTCTATTCGCGGGAGGGGGAACGCATCCTTGGTGGTTACCGCGTTCAACTTCCGATAGTCGACGCACATTCGTAATTTCCCACCTTTTTTGGGGACGACACAACCAGGGAAGCCCACGGGCTCTTCGATTCTCGAACCAATCCTTTTGCTTTTAACTGTGCAACCTCCTTTTTTATAAAGGCACGTACGCTGGGGGCAGCACGATACGGTGTCTGTTTAATCGGGGCCACATTGCCGGTGTCTATTTCATGCGTCACGACATCTGTTTGTCCTAGGTCATTCGTTCCATTTGCGAAAATTCCCTTTTCCGCGAGCAGCATCCCACGGGCACGGTCCTTTTCTTCCAAGTTTAGGGGCGTTCGTTACGCTTTCCTCTAACTTTACTTCCAAGGATAGTTCGTCTTCGGGGTCGGGGGTCGGGGGTAGGTAGTTCCTCAATATTAGCGAGGCACACGGCAGGACTACAGTAGTTACTTCACGGGTTTTCAAAGAGTTCGTCGTCAAGGGTCCCTTCGGTGAAATACCCTTCGGCTTCTTCCAAGGCCTCATTGTCGTACACAAATTCATCAAACAGATCCTCACTTATGGAGGTTTCAGCGGCAGGTTCTTTCGGGGGTCCTCCATCCGTGGAAATCGGGATTTCGCTTGTCTTACCGTTGTACATAAGGTACAACCTTTTCTCCGCAAAATGCAGCCGGGCTCGCGCTTTCACGAACCAATCCATTCCCAACAACAGCAAGTCGTCGGTGGATTCTATTATTTGGAACGTGGTGGGGATTGACATGTCAAGGATGGCTATTTTAAGGTCATTAATCCTCCCCAGGGCTCGCTCTCGGGTTCCGTTTGCTGTTACTACGACGGTGGGGGATGGTTCCTCGATCTTCAGCTTTAATTTCTCCATCATTTTTTTTGACATCAAACTTACGGCGGCACCGGAGCAAGTATCGCAACCATCGGATTGTTCTTTATTCGAATGTAACAACGAGTGGCAGTCGTGCGTTCGTTATTTGTTAGTTGCACCACGTTCGTTTCCATTTCGAGGGGTGGGGCCAGTTCGACTATTATTGGTCTTTTGTATTCTTTTTAAAGAAGCATATATTTTTTTTCCAAAAGTAGTAAAACATTGAAAGCCAAGTTTACTGCTGATTTTCTTGTCAATAAGTAATAAACCCTAAACTTGTTAGCAAGTAGTGTATGAGAACTACTTCTAAATAATAAATGCCATCCCAAGATAAGTAATAAGCTCTAAGCCTGTTAGCAGGTAGTGTATGAGAACTATCTCTAAATAACAAATATCTGTTTATAGTTTTTATCAGTCTTATACTTTTCTTTTCTACTATAGTCTACTATTTTTTAGAAAAAAAGTTTGTTGTATTTTTTAGTACAAGAGATCATCAGAAAGAGTAATAATACTATTTTATTATTATTATTATTATTATTATTATTATTATTATTATTATTATTATTATATTATGAATTATTTATTTTGTATAGTCTGAGTATTGAAACTCCAAACAATATATTAAACCCCAAGCAAGAGATTAAAACCCAAGTAAGAAGTTAAATTTCAATACAAATTAAAGATATATAAAGATATAGTTTTAGTTTGTGAAGGAAGAATAGTTATTAGAATAGCTTTTAGAATAATTGTTAATAATTATAGCATTTTTATAATAATCTAATATATTGATTTATTACATTAATACACAACTCTTTCTAATGATCCCTTATACCAAATTTTTAATATCCAAAATTTTAAAAAAATCTGTTGTTAGAAATATGAAAAGAAAGACAGTTATCTAATAAGTTAGCACCAGTTATTTAAAGATAGTTTTTATATACTACCTGCTAATTAGCTTAGAGTTTATTACTTTTTACAGGAGCAGTACTTGTTATTTAGAAGTAGTTCTTATATACTACCTGCTAACAAGTTTAAAGTTTATTACTTATTGTGGCAAAAGCTTTCTGTACTTTACTTTCTCTCTAGTTAAATAAACACTATTTTTTGCAAAAAAATAAAACTTCTTAAAAAATATTACAAAAAACTTCTTCTTTTTACTTTTCACTACTTTTCTGCTATTTTTTCAAAATTTTTATCAAAAAGTGAGCAATTTGGTTTACTCTCTTTAAAAAATTAGTATTATTTATACTTTCTAATACAGGCATACTTAGTAGAATACAACTATGTATTATATTTGTTTATAGATATAGTGCTAGCTCACAGTTTAAATTGAAGTTAGTTTAGAACCTGTTGGTTAATTAATAATCCACGAGTCACCTGGATAAAATGATCTGCAAGCACTAAGTAAATTTGACGCAAATTTATTAATTAAAAACCTGATTTGTAAATGTGCAGATTTTTAGATTTGTATTATGTGTATATACAGCCAATCAGGTCTTCAGGGATAAAATGCTTTTGATATACCTTCGATACTCCTTCGATATAAGAAACTCTCGATATAAAAGACCTTTGGTGTAAGAAACTCTTGATATAAGATTTTGTAAGTTCCAATTAAAACTTTTATAGTAAAAAGCTCTTTATATAAGAAAATCTCAATATAAGACAGATTTTAACTGGACCCAGACTCTCATTAAGATTCACTTGTATTAAACAAGCCATAACGATTTATTTCACCATATATAGCTTAGATAAAATATGAACTAAATCCTTTCTAACTGCTTATATATTTTGTTCAAACTTTAAGTTTATTAAAACACATAAGCACACCAAACTCCTGAAAATCTCAAAACTAACACATTATGTTAGTGTAATGGACCGATCAAGATCAAGAATAACTTGGGTATTAGTGGATATGGATAAGCTTTAAGCACAAGAAAATGGATTTTATTGT